ATACGGCTCAGATGCCTTCAGGTGTGAAGACACACAAGTGAGGAAGCTACAGTACCAGAGCCCTGTCATTTTCTTATTTTCTTTATTTGTCTTTATTTAACAACACTTTTAAAATTGCAGCTATTTATATTAACCAAAGATTATTGATTCAATTAATGTTACTTCAAGGCAATAAAAAAAGACTAAATTAGTTTGTGTATGTGTGTATGTGTGTTTATATTTCCTTGTATCTCACCCTCAAAGTCAACTGTTCCATCCCCGTTGTTGTCAACTTCTCGGACCACTGCATCAATTTCATTTTTGCTGGTTTGTTCTCCTAATAACTTTATCATGGCATGTCTCAGCTCATCAGATGTTATACAACCATCACCGTCTATATCAAACTGTAGGAGAGAGGAGAAATATGTTATATTGCAGTCATCTTTTTGCCAGATTTCAGTTTTTACTGTATGCTCATTTAATATCCACCATGGGGTGCCAAAGACCAAAAGAATAGAATAGGTATGTTGAGCTCACCTCTTTAAACGCATCTTTAAGTTCCTTCAACCCAATCATCCCTGCAGTTTCAGCCAGAAGTTTGGGGGTCATTAGTTCCACAAAATCTTCAAAGTCCACCCGTCCTCCCACTGTGATAAGACAAATGATATAACTATATGCAGGCAGTCTCAGTGGGGTGAAATGCTCACAGTGTTAAGTCAGGTTTCATAAATGATCATAGGATGGTTCAGATTCAATAATATGATATACAGATACATGATAACTAAGATGATTATCTGTGCTCTGCTGTACAATTTATGTGAACCACTGACAAACAATGAGTCTACAAACAATGTTGGGAAGGCTTCTTTCAAGACAGAAATATACACGTATTGTATCCAGAGACATGCCTGAAAAACACATTTCCAGAAACTTTTAAAAATGATAAATCTGCTTGAAGATTATATTTTGGTGTTCTGGCAAAAAAAAAAAAAAAAGTAGTTAATTCTCCAAAACATACAAAACTGGCTTGAAAAAATTATTTTGTTGTATTTGTCTATACTTTGTTTAATGCACTGATAAAAAAGGGAAACACCCATATTACAACAGATTATGTTTTTAATCACTTTTATCAGCCCAACATAATCTTAGTAATAAACAACAATGGAGTTTGACATATTTAGTTTTTTTCCCTTAAATTACAGGACGTTACTCACAGTTCATGTTGATGTTCTGGCTGAGTTCTATGAGCTCCATTTCAGTCGGCATGTAACCCATGGTCCTCATCAGGTTCCCCAAGTCTTTACAGCTTATTAAACCATCCTTGTCTTTATCAAACTCTACAAAAGCTTCACGCAACTCTAGAGAACATACGGAGACAAAATTTAGAAAGGTATGTGCATGCAACATTATACAGCACTCTATATCTGAAAGCATTGAAACAGCAGTTACCTTCAATCTCATCTTGTGTCAGAGCTCTTGTCTGTAAAACAATAATGCCAAGGACATAAAAGTTACTGTGTTTTATACACAGTAGTATGTATCGTTATAGCCACAGTTATCTAGATTGTGTATACAAAAAATAAAATCTAATTTCTCTATCCATACATAAATATATACATATGTATTGCAGATGAAATGTGGAATAAACACACTCAACACACTTGTTGAAATGGTGAAATTTCCCACATATCACAGCTAAAGTTTTTAGTTTTAATTTAGTTTAGATGCACTTCATTTTTACCATTGATCAATATGTCACATTCTTCCCCCAAAGTTCTCCAAATAACACAAATACTAGACACAGTATGTTCTCACTGTAACTCCTGATATTAAGATGTTTATTGTTTTGCATAGGCTTTTAATTTCTGTGTCTCTATAAAATTGTTGTTCATATATACATATACATATACAAGTGAAAAACTCTTTTATTCAGTTCTGAATCTAGAGATAATTATTTTTTAATATTGTAATATAATTCAAATCAAAGACCAATTCTGAATATGTGAGTGGGTTTATATTTCTTTAGCACTGTCCACAGAAAGGATGCTGGACTATTATATATAACATCATATATAATATATCATATATAAATCAGCCTGCTGACACACTCATATGTATTTCTGTACATTCTGTGAACACGTGCTGGCAATAATATCCAGACACATTTCTGTTCATGTGATTCTAACATCTGTAAATATGTCATTTGTTAAATCCTTGCTTACATATTTTTTTTCTTAGTGCAGATTCCTTATAAATTTCAATTACTGGTCAAAAAAGAATACAACTGCAAATATGTTTTCATATATATATGTGTGTAATATTAAGTAGGTATTCTTTGAAATCGGGGACAAAGCACAGAAATTGACTGAAAACAAATGCATCCACCTAATGCACCAGCTAAAAAGTTTGCCCTCCCATCTCTACTCCACGGGGAGTATTCATCTAAGGTTCTTTTCCCATTAACCTAAAATAACACCATATAAGAATGACAATAATAACAAAATAATATCTGTCATAAATGTTTAACAGATGAAAGTAAGATTTATGTTCCTGGTAAACCAATGAAAAACACAGTAATGACATACAGTATAGATATACCTAATTAATTAGAAATGTATAAAACTCTTAAGCTAAAGACAGGTAAAAACAGTAAAAAATACAAAACAAAATAAAAAATCAAACAAACAAAAACTAAACTAAACTAAATAAAAAAGAGCATAAAACCATGACCTGTACTGTAAAACCCTAAAATCATTTTGACTCACATGTCTCCTGGTTCCTCCTCTGAGAAAAATGCAGGCTTGTTTAAGACTCATGATGAAAACCTTAGTTGGGATCCTGGGCTTTTTGGATTTGTGAATATCTTTTTTATTTCTATATTGTTCAGTTTAGTCCTTCCTGTGCGAGCATGTGTATCTGTGTAAAGCGTGATCAGCAGTGATCTGTGTATGCCAGAGAGGAGGGATGAGGTCTCATATGGATTATCTCTGCAGCTTTGGTCCTGAAAAGCTTAATGCTGTACATATACACAATTTCATATACACAGTCAGACATTACTGTTGTTTTTAAAAACCTTTTTTAATAAAGAATATTGGTAAATGTATCTAAATGTCATAAATGCATTTTACTGTCATAAGAATAATTTGTTTACTAATGATTCAAATAGCTATCTCATCTTTCAATCTTTATTCATCTGGAAATGTAGAATAAATATCTGTCTGCTTATTGTTTGCACTCCTTGTTGACTTCTTTTATGTGGTGCTATAGTCAAGTAAATGATTGCCTGGATAAAGCTTTCTATCTGTCATCACTAAATTCAACAAAACTGAATACAACAGATGCGAAAGTGGAGAGGGAAAAAGTCTAGTCATAGAGCCACATACTGTAGTAATTTCAAAAAAATAAATATATGTGTAAATATGTAAAAAAAATAATAATAATGTTATAGCCAGAAGTTCTGATTAAAATGTAGTATTAATCAAAACGATACAATGCTGTATAATCTCAGCATGCAAGGTATCTCATTATTAATAAATGACTGCAGCATATACATCATCAGTCTATTACATAACCATAATGCTTTGTCATATTTAAAAGTTCTGTGCAATTTAAGAAGCTATTTTCTTCTCAATCTACACACAGTGATCATATTTGAAGCTGAATAGTTTGTTGCGTTTCATGAGAAGCCCATGAATGAAATTAATGAGCACATGACCAATTTGATTCCAGAAAAGTTTAATAAAGTAGTATTTCTCTTCTCTTTCGAGTTACATCATCCATTTACATTGAATATTGTGGCAGAGTGAGGTGCTGAATATGCTCTGTCCACTTAAAGAAACATTATGAGATAAGAAGACACGGTAGTATGTTAAACAGGAAGGTGGTCAGAGTCCATGTTTGATAAAAAACACACGAAATTCAGCTTGACATATTATAATCTGACAGATGTATTTGAAATACATTAAATATATCAAAAGCCCCTCCCTTACAAACTGCCAATGCAAATCCAGAGCTTTCAGAGGGTTTACTTCTGGCGTTGCACTGACAACCATGGAGAAATGCACACAGCCTGTATTCAGAATGATGCCTTCAAATGAGCCGCCAGGACGTCCATAAGGTTGTGATGTCACAATTATACAGCCACCACCATCAGTCACGCTTCCAACACAGCCCACCCTAAGCTACAATCTGCTAAGAATGAAGCTGTAAAATACACCAATTGCAAATGGTAAAGCACAAATGAAGTGTGTGGTTATTTGCAGCAAAGCAATTCATTCATGTATCACTGGATTATTCGAGTAATCCAGAGATACAATAACATTATAATATAGTTCTGAGTCTTGTACTTGTGCTGACAGTTGATCCTTCTTTTATAGCCTGTCAGTGTCCTTCTCTATGCAAAGTGAACTTCCTCACAG